ATAAATAAATAAATAAATAAATAAATAAACATTTAAAAAATAAAAAAAATAAAAACTAAACTAAAAAGTCTATTCCTTCAAGGAGGAGCTTACATTCCTGTGGAGGGAGACAGGTAATCAAGAAAGAAACACAAAAGGGCAGATGCTGATAAGTGCTCTGGAAAACAAAACAAAACAAAACAAAACAAGGTGAGGAGGCTGGGGAATGTGGGATGGGGTGTTTCATATCAGGCCAGGTCGGGCAAAAGATGATAAAACAGTAAGTGAGCAAAGGCCTGAAGGAAGTGGGAGAGTACAGAATGTTCTGGACAGCAGGAAACACTAAGGCAGAGTCAGGTGTGTGGTATCATTCACGAAACAGCAAGGAAGCCAGTGTAGCTAGAGTGGATGGACTGAAGGGGAGGATAAGAATAGGGTTTGAGCAGAGAAGTGATGTATCTGATATTCACTGTAAAAGGTTGACAGTGACTAGTGTGTGGAAAAGACACTATAGGGGGTTGAGATGATCCCTCCATTCTTAGAACAATATTACTATAGATAGGAATAAAAGTCAAACCCCACAAATACAGGCTGGTGCTCAACTGGCTGGGTACCAAGAATAATAGAAGAAAAGCTATAGGTCAGAGTTGTCTACACCCCAACCATGAGACAGTAGTGTGGTAAACCAGGCAATCCTGCAATATGTGACATCTGACCCATGAAGACTAGGACACTGACTCTGTGCCACGTTTGGCCTACACAGGGCCCCCTAGCACACAGTTGCCTTATGCTTGCAATGCTTCCCACCTGTCCCACGGCCCAGGCTGCACACAGGCCTGTTCTCTCCATAAGTGTTTTCTCCCACTGTTTTCCCTTCTCTTCTGGCTGTGCCTCTAATGCTGTCATTCATTCAGCAACTACCATGTGTAAAACTTAATGAAGAACGCCACAGGAGAGTCTCTGATAAGGACTTGGAGCTTGAATCTTTTGTTAATTGCGCCTAGAGAGCTCTGTCTGCTGTTGGCACAAATCTCTCTTGTTGGCCCCTTCTGGTTTGCCCTCTAACTGAGGGCTTTTTCTCCACCTCTCACAGATGCACTCTTGGAATGTCTGCCCTGCCAGACAAAGGACTTCTCTACAGCCCAAAATCACTGGCTTCAGTTTGGGTCAGGACTGGCAACCTAGTCTCAGTCTCAGGTGAAGAAAAACAGGGCCAGGGTTGGCAGAATGGTGCAAGGAGTCGAGGGCTCTTTAACTTCTCCCCGTTCCACCTCCAAACGGGGCCTTTTTTCCTGGCAAGCTCAGGTCCTACATGGTCAGAGCAGGGCCAGGGTCACAGCCAATCCCTATCTCCTTCCCTCTTAGGTAACAGAGAAGAAAGGCCCAGTCTAGCCTTGGGTCCAATGAGAATGAAACCTTGAAGTGGCTTATTTGGACCAGAGACTGGAGCTAGTTTCTACCCTGCCAAGAGGCAGGGAAAGGTTCCTTCTCCAGAGCTTGGAGATGCCAGCCTTGCGGATTCCCAAAGATCTGTGGCTCTGTGTCCAGCCTCCTGCTCCAGAGCCCCAGGCAGAGTCCTGGAGACTAGACACAACCAGCCAAAGGCTCTGGGAGACCACAGGGGCTGGGGACGAAGCTCCTGGCCCAGAAGCTGTGGCAGAGAGCTGTGTATTAGCTGCATGGCCTCTAAGTGGCAGGAGTGAGAGTCCAGGAAGGAAGGGGAGGTCCGGAGCAAGGACTGCTGGACCAGGCTTGTGGCAACCACTCTGCCACGCTCTTCCCCGGGCCGTGCAGCTTAACTCTCTTCACACTCGTGAGGCAGGACTATGTCCAACTTAATAGATAATAAATCGGAGTCTCAGGTCACACAACTTTCCCCAAAACACACGATCTACAGACTCCAGAGCCTGTTCAGACACCGAGGCTGCTGGGAAGAGGCCCCTGCAGCCTTGTCAAGGGCCCCAGCTACCTGTGTGGAGTCTGTGGTCAAGCTCACGCCTAACATCCAAGTCGTGTCTATCATGAGGAGTTACTGGACAGTTGAATGTCAAGTGACTTCACCCCTTACCCTCACTCCACTCCTGTCTCCTACAGGTACCCCCACCCTTCTGCCCTTCTCACCCTAAGCTGGCCACATCCCAAACCCGTCGGATAATGGGTTTTACTAGTACGAATGCATTCCAAAGGGAGGGGGGTCCAGCCCAGTCGTAGCTACCACAGCTGCTAGAGGTTTGTCCCAACCTTTAGTGCTTTGGGCTTCTTTGTGTGCCTCCCACCAACATTCCCTCTCCTTTCTGCAGCAGATTCCCACGCCATTGGAGCCTAGCATAAGGAACAGTCCCCAGCTCGTCACAGCTTTGCTGCGCCCCCACACCTCATCTCCCCTCTCCCTGACTGCCTCCTCCTCACCAGCGTGGGGATTTGGCTGGAGTAGCTTGAGCTTTGAATTTTAGAACAAATCCAGAGAACCCAGTAGCCCAGGGGGACCTGGGAAGGGGCTAACAACACCAGAGGTCATGTGACTGCCTTTGGCTTCTTATTGCTCCTCAGGCTTTGCTTAGCACTGAATTGGGGCCCCTGCCCTCCAGAGCCAAGGGGTAGGGGGTGGAGGGCAGCACAACCACAAATAATACCACATAAGAAACTCTAGAGCTGACCTAGGCATACAGCCCCATGTTTTGCTTGGCGAGCGATCCACACCACGGAACAGGGACATGCTGGCTACTTAGTCCGCACTGAAGGGTGAAATCGCCTTCAACTTCTCCGTGCCTCACATGATGATTGGCCTGCACCATCTCGACCTATTCCAGGGTGGTTGGAAAGCTATGAATCAAACAACAGATGGGACAGGTAAATGTGCTTGTGTAAACAGAGATTCATTAGGGAGGTATGTGGGAGGGGGGGTGACCTCCTGGTGTGAAAGCCCTTGTTCTCTTCCACCTAACACTCAGTGCAGGGGCACCTCCTGGTCTCTATGGTTACCAAGAGCAGCCTTGCCACGGAGAACCTGGAGTGTAAACAGCAGGAACCGGGTCTGCGGCTGCCATGTCTGGAAGGAGGCCTCACACAAGGGCAAGGGAGGAAAGGGTGGGGCCCCTGCAGGCTCCCCAGGCCAGAAGGAGGAACTTCTTTACCTGAAAACAAATTTCCCAGGTGTGGAAATCTCCCCACACTTATTCTTGGCACACAGCATTTTGAACAGTTGTTCCCAGTTTACTTCGAAGATGTCACTTTTAAAATATTTTTTCAATTTCTCTATTTTCATCATAGAGAAAGAGTCAACTAGATGTGAATGTGCCTTTCACATGTGCTCGTTCCCCATTTAATAAGGAAGTTCTGTGAGAAGAAGCAGTTGCAGCCTCGAGAGGTGAAATTCTGCCCTGGAAAATAAGACGGGTGAACTGCTAAGTCCAGAATGAAGACCAGACACCAGGAAGCCTGAAGCCAAATGTCCTGTATGCACATAAGTATGATCATTGTAGTTTAAATGGTTGCCTCCTTCCCTTCCCATGGCTGCCAAACAGGGATGTGGGTAATAATCACAATTTGCTGTATCTTCAGGTTATCTTTACATACAAATTGAAACCATTATTATGAAATAAAATGGAGTACTAACGTGGGATTTAGGAATGCTCATGAATTTTCCTTCATATCTGATGTGCTGGATAACTCTGGCCTTGACTCTCAGCCTCTCCAAGACCCCAGCTGCACCCATGGGGCCAGCCAGCACCGGTCTGAGAATCCCAGGGGGCCCTAACCCCACCTTGCAGACGCACAGGTGCAGGGGCTGTGAGAGCCAGCAGTGCTGAGGTAAGACTCAGAGCAGTGCCCTGGCAGATAGTAACCTGACTCGTTTATCTCCCCCTTGGACATCTTGTCCCTGTTGCCACCCATGGCTCAGAGGTACAGATTCCAAGATCCACTGGCCACCACTGGCCTGGGATCAGCCTTCCTTCCCCTGATCCTCTGCTCACCATGCCAGTCATTTAACACACATAAACACAGTGTGAGGCAGGGTACATCGGTGTGTACCCAAATCCAATGCAGCCCCGTTGACTGCTCAGATGGTTAGAGTGTCCACCTCCCTTCTCCCACCCCACCCCACCCCACCCTAGGAAAAATTCAGCTCCCCCCTCCCCATTTTGAAAGAGAGGGGTGGGCAGATGGGGAGAGAGAAAGAGAGAGAGAGAGAGATCAAGAATCTCAAGCAGGCTTCATACTCAATGTGGGTCCTGATGTGGGGCTCAATCCCACGACCCTGGGATCATGACCTGAGCCAAAATCAAGAGTCGAATGCTTGGGGCACCTCGGTGGCTCAGTTGGTTAAGCATTTGACTCTTCATTTCAGCTTGGGTCATGATCTTGCAGTTCATTAGTTTGAGCCCCACAATGCTCTCCGCACTGACAGTGCAAAGCCTACTTAGGATTCTCTCTCTCTCTGCCCCTCTCCGGCTCTCACTCTCTTGCTCTCTCTTTCAAAAAAAAAAAGTTTGACGCTCAATTGACTGAGCCACCCAGGGTCCCCCAGACTCTTATCTCTCAGCTCCACTGCATAATACAGAAGGTTCAACCCCTTAGCATAACCTCCAAGACCACCCCTGTTTTCAACACTAACCTGCTCCCTTCACAGCACCCACAGGAAGCAAATGGGCTTAGGAGGCATGTGGGGGTACCAGAAAATGCTGGACTTAGAGGGGCATGGATCCCCCTCTCAGAATCTCACAAAACAAATATTGTCCTCTCCCCAAGGGAGGGGTGGGGAATGGATATTCATGCCCCACTTGCCCATTTTATTTGAGTCCCTTAGTCTATGGCCCTGCGGTTAAAAAGCCCTGCTCCTGGTGAACTTGGTCTCACAGTGTGTAGAGAGAGAAACAGAATAGAATTCTCAAACATCCTTTCTCTTTTTAGCAAGCCAAACCTTGGAGCAGCCAGAGGCAGGAGCGATCAGGCAGGGGACAGCCATCCAGAACATTCTGGAATCACCATCTGAGGAGCAGAGGGGAGCTGTGTGTGCAGCCAGCCGTGGTCAGACAGAGGAAATGCAGGGTCTGGCTGCTGGCCATTCTTACCCTCGCTCCCACCATCAGGATCTCTGGCCCCATCCTGACCCCTGGTGGCTGCCCGTGGGATGAGGTGAACATTCTTCCCAAGCTCCTCCCTGCCCTGGTCCCAGCATAGCAGGAAAAATGAATCCCCCACCCCACAGGTCCTGGCTAGGGTCCCCAGGAAGTACAAGTGTGTTTCCTATGGGTTTTTCAGGAGGGTTTACTCCACTGTGGTCACCAGGTGCCTTCTCAATGTAAGTCCAGAGACCAATTAAACAAATGTATATAAAGAAAGCCCTTTCATCTGCCAAGTTGGCAAAAGGTGTGTTAAAAAAGAGGTGTGTGTCTGTGTGAATGTGTGTGTGTGTGTGTGTTATAACTAAAAGTTAATGCAGGCTGGGGTGCAATAAGACCAGCACTCTCATGCACAATTCTTGAGAGTACAAATTTGTATAACCCTTCTGCAAGTGATCTGAGCAAAATAAATCCAAAATCTTACTAAGCATTCTATTCTCTGACCCAGTAATTCTGTTAGGAATCCAGCTTCAAAAAAATCAATACTCAAATAACATGAAACCCAAAATTTGAAATAAATGGGAGAGGAAAAAACAAGATAAGCCAAGCGTGATCATCACTGAGGCTGGATGATGATTACATGACAGTTCTTTATTCTGTTTTGTTTTGTTTTGTTTTTGTCTGCTTTGCTATATGCTGTGAATTTGCCATGATATTTTTAGAAGAAAGCATCAGAGATGCAAAGATTTGTATAAAAGATGTTAATTTTTAATAGCAAAAACTGCAAATGGCAAAAAAAAGTGCTATGCTGGGGTGGTTAAACAAATTATGCTGCATCCAAATAGTGGGATATTATGCAGCCGTTAAAAATGCAAGAGTGTTTTCATGATGTGGAAAAATGCTTATGTGATGCAAAGCAAATAAGTAGGAATCAAAATTGCATATGTAGTATTTAACTGAGTATGTTAAATGAAAAGTGCATAGGGGTGCCTGGGTGTCTCAGTTGGTTGAGTGTCTGACTCTTGGTTTTGGCTGAGGTCATGATCCCAAAATTGTGACATCAAGGCATGTGGCAGGGTGGAGAATGCTTAAGATTCTCTCTGCCTCTGCTTCTGCCCCTCCCCACTCATGCTGGCTCTCTCTCTAAAAAAATAAAAATAAAAAATAAAAAGTGCATAGAAGGAAACTGTATGAAAATACACTAACATGTTTGTTATACAGTGAGACTAGGGATCATTTCTATTCTTGATATTGTCCCTTATTTTCTTAATTCTACAATAAGCATGTCTTTTATAAATAGGTCCCCAAATTGCCTTTGTGGAAGTATACCAACTTGGGGGTCTGAGATACATTCAGCTCCAAGGACTGCCATGTATTAGCCGTGCAACATTGAGAAATTCACATCTGGGTCCCAGATTTCTCACCTATAAAACTGGCATAACACCAACCTATTTTTCAAGCACCATTTACTGGGTCTTCACTATGTCCTAGGCAGTATGCTTGGGGGGGGGGGGG